GGCAAATCAAGAAAGCCTTATTCAAAGTCGTTTTTTAAAGAGAACACCACCAAAAGCTTAAATGATTAACCATCGAAAACCAATACCTGGACCGACAAATGGCAATAGCCATCCCTGTCCGTCCTGGCCAAGCCCCGAAGGGCCGGCACCCGGCTCGGTGACTGCGCGCGAAGACTGCAGAACGCCCGATTTCCCTAAATAACCATAAATCCAATACAATACAAAATCACTATCCAGAAACGGAAGAGGGGCTGCGAGGCGAGAAACCTCCTCTTGTCGGCTATTGTCAGCAACATGACGACGAAACCCGCGAGACACGTTGTCAGGAAATTCCGTATTCTACGGGCCACCCGGGGCGTTATGATTCCTGTTTTGAAACGGAAAAGTCGGGTATAGAGCGAATCATTGCGTGCCAGTTGTTGGCGAAAATAATTCTTGGTGTAATTTGGGGGAACGATCGTGGGAAAGCGGGGTGTGATTTAAAAAAAAATTGGCACGCTATTTCACGGGTTTTCAGGTGGTTATTAATACTAATTAGATTCTGAAATTCTCAAAACTTTTTGAAAAACTATGAATTAATAAAATGGGGTGTTCTACTAAAGTCAATGAACAATTCTCTATTTTTCGTATATTTTCGTTTTTATTTTTAGACGAACCCAATTCGAGAATTTTTTAGCGCTTCTAGCATCCTAGCATTCGAAAAATAAATTTTTTAGGGCCGCGGAATATCGATGAATGGTGAATTCCACCCAAGTCTCCGAACAAATTAATTCATAACAATCTGCATATACGATTTCTCAACCCGCCCACTTGGCCAACAACCCGACAATAGCCAAATCACATCATCAAAGAGGCACCCACATATCCAAATTCATAATTTTACCCCTCGAGGGCCCCCCGTCCCGGATGGTAGACGACTATCGTTAGGGTGGCGTGTTTGGCACAACAATGAATTAAATTCCGGCGAAAAGAGACGCTCCCGAGCGGTGGCGCCAGAAGGGGGCCTTTCTACTAGAGCCCTGTCGAAAAACAGCAAGTTCTTGGGAAATGTGGAATGGGATAGGGGTGCTTCCCCTCCGCTTCGGCTTCGCCTAAAATGGGTAATTAGGAGCCACCCGGAAAAGCGAGCTCTGGGGGGGGGGGACCTTTTTGGGTGGTTGTGGTGGTAGCAACAAAAATTGGCGAGGAAGCGGAGGTGGAGAATGAGGCCTAGGGGTAAATGGGAACATTGAATTCGAAAGGTAGCATAGTTGAGGGGAGAGCCGAAGAAGGGAGGGTTGGCTGGGCGGCCGACTGAAATCCGAGCCATTGCTTGCAAATATGGAATCGAGCTTGGGAAAGAGAATTTCATGGGAACCCGGCATGGCAATTGGGTTGATGTCTATTCTATTCTTGGCCAGACGTTTTATTTAGAAATAAAGACTATTTTTGATTGCTGCATTGGTAGCAGACCTATTATATTAGATTCAACGAGATGTGGCCAACAAAAACAAAAACCTAAATCCGTTTTTACGATGCAAATAGCAAAAATAAGGATAAAAAGATATCCTTAGTGTCAAGTGCTGATTGAAAATGGCCATTTTACGCATTAAAGACTGCGATTCGAGTTGAATAATTTAGGTAATCGGGCATATTAAATCTAACGGTAAATGGCGGCAAAGTCGGAAAATCCGATAAGGCATTTTTTATCAAAATATGATAATATCGGCCTGAAAAGCATATATATAATTTTTAGCGACCAGTAATGATCGAGAAACGGGCATTTAAATGACTAAAAGTAAATTCTATCTATATTAGCAGAGCTAGATAAATTCCAGTTAAATAAAATCGTGACATGCCAGAAAAATAACTTTTCAAACCCGGATCGAAACCGGAAACCCCACAAAACCAATAACGGCCCTTAGTATGGCCCCCCAACAAATCGAGTGCCCCCCGGGGGCGAGCGGGGCGGGAGGGGGGAGGGGAAGAGTTTTTGATGCTAATGCCTGGTAACGGCGGAATGGCAACATTACATCTGCATAGAATTCATTAAATATTAATCCGACAAAATGGGGAGGCGGCGCATATCTATCATGTCTGGCTGTCCTTGGTGGCCCTGGCGGGGTCTATGTGTCGCGCCGGCTAAACGAATTTAGAGTGTATTGGATAAGTTACAAATTTGATAGTTATTCAAAGAAATGCTACTCTAAAAGTATAATGCAAGGAAATATATACTCAAAAATCCTAATCCAAGACTGAAACGGGCTCAGCCTTCAACCGAACGGCCATAACTCAATTACAAACCCTCATTCGCGACCAATTATTGCCTAGATATATAGAATCCAGACCCGGCAATGCCAGTATATTCGATATTTCTACCCTCTGTTCGCCATGGCCACTCGCGTCATTTATGTTTAGTTCAAGGCGCGCCGAAAAAGCAATCCGAGTCAGCAAATAAGGGAACTTGCGTGTAATTTAATTTGGGCTGGAGGGGCAAGAAGAGGCATGGAAAAGAGGGGGGAGTCGGGGTGCGAAGCGAATCGGCCATTTTGTCGAAGTGAGGCACTGAGCTATCGCTGAGGATGGATTTTTTGGGGAAGAAAAAGTGCAGCTAGGAATTGATGAAAAATAGTAGGACTGGAAATTTTGGGTAGTAGCCAAATATCACGTTAAATGCAATTAACGATAGCTATGCTAGCAACCCTAGAAGCTCAAGAAATCGTGCGTCCTCACCTGACAAAAAATAATAACATTAGCAAAATTGCCCTTTTGATCCAAAAGTCATGATGTCTGAAACTGAATATAAGGTGAAAAATAAGGTAGATAGAAAGCTAATCCGAAAACCTAAAGCTGCTGAATGATGCTAGCAACCCTAAAGGCCCAGAAGAGATCCGCCATCCCAACGACAGAATACTCTGTTTAAGACATTTGGAGATCGACTGGAGCTAACCTCCGAAGTAAGATAGATAACGCAAAGATTCATCCCAAAATCCGAAGCGATGAAAGTGGTTCTACTGCCTGAAAAGTTCAGAAGCAAGGCGCCGCCCATCAAAAAATTCTAGGTTTAAAAAATGAATATTAACAGACTATAACGTCAAAAAGTAGATACATTAGCTAGGAAATAATGCTAGTCGTCTCAAATGTTCACAAGCCACAAGGCCCTCTCCCCATCCGATGACACATGGTCCACTGGAGTTTGTTTCAAATTTCGCACCCCACACACCGTGCGCGAGACTCGGTCATCCGAAGGGCATAAAATAATAGCTGAGAGCGACATGCACAGACACCCTCCTCCCCTCCCCCTCCCTGACAGCGTCAGCAACCCCGGGAATGCCGTGGAAATGGCGGAAGATGTGCGGTGGTGAGGCTAATGCATAGCAGATGTGTCAAAGCGATAGTATGGCCTGCGAGCCGAGCCGAGAAAAAAGGGGGCGCGACACACCCGTATGCACCTCCGAAATCATGCATTCGGGGGCTCCCCTTGGTCGGGGTTTGGCCGATGGCTTAAAGCTGTGGGCCAGGCTGTCGCTACTGCCATTGGAAAAAAACGCAAAGCCATTTTGGCAATTAGAGAGATCTATTATGAGGCTTCTATTCACGAATTCAGAACGATTCTTGCAAAATCACGCCCAAATTAATTTATAAGTTTGTGAACCTGGAATTAATTAATTCTAGCGCTGAAAGCTGTGGACCAGACTGCTGCTACTGGCATGAGCAAAAATGCTGAATCATTTTGGCATGTCAAGAGGGCTATTATGACGCATTTCGGGGTAAAATCACGTGATGTAGCGCATCGGCAAGTTTTTCTCTCCAAATACCGCGTAAATAATTTTTTGTATGTAGAGTTAGTTCCAACAGTTTTTTCATTGATTTATTTTATGTCGCTGATAGGCCTGCCATTACCTTCTATGTTTTTTTGAACCACCTAGTAGCCGCCACCCCACACAAATTATAAAATATTAACTTCCAAAAACCCGTTTCTTTTGCAACCAGGAGAATATGCTGGTCTATAGCGCCCCCGCTTCAAAACAACCGAAGCGTTCCCTTCCCAACTACCTACGATATGCATAGGGACATCGGTGCAGGGCTAGAAAAGCCCGAAAAAGGAATAGACGTAGAAAAAACGCAAGGGAGACTCAGTATACCTTACAAATCAGGGTGTTCAATTACGTTTAAAACCGCGAATAGCATGTCTAGCTCTAATAAAAACCTAATAATGCCCATTGCAACAATTCCCCAAATCTCTCCCCCGCAGGTGATTTTCCTGAAAGCAAATCTAGCATTTTCCCTATAGAGCCCCGCGTACACTCCATCAAGTTCAAGTACCAATGTTGTGCGGCGTCAATGAAATTGGGTCTAAAAGCCTATTACATCGTCAAAGTAATGTGTGGGACGTTACGATGCTAAAAGCGAGAACTAATGGTTTTTCAAGGGTCATAAGATAGGTGGAAACAATCGGATTCCATAGATCGGTGAGTGTGAAGGTAGGCCTCGGAACGCGGTGTGTATGGAGTATGGAGGGGGATTGGCCAGCGCCACCGAGCCGCTGGGGCGATCCCCCCTGAATTATGCAGCAGAAATTAGCCGGTGTGTCGCCTGAGGCTCGCCACGATAACGGATGGCTTTTGGTCGCCATCCACCGGGACAGCTGAGTTTTGCTTCGGATATCGCAGGGCAAAAAAATCTATAAATTGCGTATCCGCATAACGAAAACTCGGCTTAGAATCTAACCTATGACTTTGTGCTGTATTTTCGTGTCATAGCCTTTTAAAGGCCCGATTTGAGAGCCTTTGCTTGTTTGGCCATTTTATGAGTTTTTGCCACTTGTGCGAGGCAGCTAATTCTAATCGCAATAGCATTTTAAAAATTTTGATAGAATAGCTGTTAAAAATCATAAATAAAACCTATTGGTCTCAACTTTGTTAGATCCAATAGAGGCAAATTTCAACACGCGAGAAATGGAAATTTCCGCCGATAAACACTAACCCGAAGACTTTAAAGCTCAAATTACATCCACCTTAGGAGCCAAAGGCAAAATACTGATTTAAAATATAAAATAAAAAATCCGAAGACCAATGATAGTGCTGTCCAGAAGATGATAATAGCCTGAATAATAGGCAGGAATATCTAAACGCTAAAAATTAAATATATTTTTATCTTTGATTTTTGCAGACTGACCGACACATCAAATATGGCAAAGGTGTAACCGTACTGTGGACTCCCGGGAATTCGGCTCTCCTCCTTCATCTTGGTCATCAACAAGGCACACGTCTTCACATCTGATACGTCGACGACCCTAGAAACAGGAAAATATGAATGGAAAGTCGTTTAGATTGGGCTTATTTGTTTTTATTTGGTACTATCTTGCCTTTCGTTTGTATATATATTATAAGTACTATATAGCTTTGAAGTTATTTTGAATTTCAATTTGAATTTTATCGCAAAGCGTTTAATTTTACTAATAAACTGCGTATTCAGAACTTTCATGGCAAGCGGCTTCGCGTCAGAACCGAGATTCATAGATAACGACAAAAATCTCAAATAAATAGGATAGGTGTGGGGTATCCTACTATATATAAAAAAATAGTGTTTGTGTGTGTGTGTGTGTGTGTATATTTGCATGCACTTCCGTTAGGATGTTCCGCTCCTACAGCCTCGGGGAAGGGTTTTTTGGATAGGGAAGAAAGGACAATGGGTTTAGAATGGTCCGGAATCGACTGCACACGCATAAAGATTTTGAAAAATTGCGGTTTTCGCTATTAAAAATAGGTTTTTGTAAAACCCTGTTTGTTAGGGGAAATTAGCATACGCCGGAAATAGGATGAGCCTATATAAAGGGACAGAGGAGCCGTTTTTCACTTTTTTTTCTTGCTAGAATTCAGGAAGAAACATGCAAATTAAGGACTTTCACAGGTCCTGGACGGGGCCAGGGTTGAAAAGCCGCGAAGCGGTTTTTCAACCCTGGTTTCCAGGCTAAAATATCTCGTTCACGGTACGGTAGAATCCACTACTTTACACTACCCGTTTGGCCACCCGTTCGGTAGCTGCCGCCTCTGCTGTACCGCGGGTGGTGCCAATTGCGGCAGCGTTCGACCGGTCCTCGACACCATTGGACCAGCATCCCAGCTGCCATTCATCAACCTATCAGCCTCGTACACACACAGCAATCAATGACCACCAAAAGTGAATATGGCAAAGCGTCGGGTGCCCATTCGAGGATTAGTGCGTCGAGAAGGATGGCCGAAATGGGGAAGAAGAAGAGGTTGCTCAAAGCACGCGCATACTTTGTCTCTTCCAATGGATGGGTCGAGGTACTTGAGGCCGTCCCCCCTACTTCGGCCTAGGCATCTTTCATTTGGATACTTTTTCCGGACACTTCATCGATCTCTGCCCCCCGGTGCTCGCCCCCGTTTTCAGCTTGAAAACCTTAAGGAGGAGCCGGAGGGTAAATAGTGAGGTTCGAAAGGTGTCGAATGAGGGTGTGGACGGAAGGGCGGGGGGCGTTTAATTGAAAAAATCATGGATGTGGAATGGGGGCTCTGGGGGTGCGAGGTGGAAAAAGCTGTGGGGCGCAACCTGCTCGGCGAGGATCTCGATTTTCGATTCTGGTCCGCGCCGTTTCACGGGCGAAGGGCTATAGTTGTTACTAGAGCAAAGGGTTTTCGAGAGTTTGTGAGTATTCAGGGGGTTGAGGGTTCAAATTTCGGGAAGGGCCTGGCAGATGAGGTCGACAAAGCAAATTGGTTTTTGGAAAGAGAAAAACGATAAATTAGATGGAATATGGCATCAACAATAATATTTAAGAAAAATCTCAAACTTTTTTCAAAATTACATAAGATTTAATAAATTTTATTCTTACAAAGAGAACTGATGCTTGAAACCCCCAGCCACCTATCTTGTTTTGATACGTCATCTATAAAAATAATAGTGTTGCCGGCCCCTCGTAAAACCCGTCAACCCCTTTGTTGTCAGAAGTCTAGGGTTGACTAGTGGATCACTATAAGGAAACCTTGGCTATAATTACGAGCCAGGCCCCCGGAATTCCACATGTATGTATTGGATCTGGTTAGAGGTCACCCAAAGCGATTAGAGACAGCTGATGGCTGGGGGCGAAGGCAAAAGTGCAGTAAAGCAGAAAGACTTACGCAGTAGGCGCTACCTTACGAGTTATTCCTATTATACCATCGCGTTAAAAAAGCACGCTCTTTTTTACAACACAGCAAAAGTGTTCTAGACCTTGCTGATATTTAGCCAAAAACCCTATAGTAATCCATTTAGAACCCAATTTTGAAATCTAAATAATTCTTTGAAACGATGAAAAATAACCATTTATCGGTCGACCAGACCTCGTGAATAGCCGAAAAAGCCTAAACAAAAGCCGAACCCCATTAAACATTTGTTCCGTCGAGACAGCCGAAGGGGAGAACAGTGTTTCGGAAAGGATAATGAGGTGTTCAAAGGGTCCACCCAGGGCTTAGAAATGCCGGGGGCCCAACTCTGCGGGTCATCCCGGGCCATGTAAGGATCAAATTTCGAAAATTAATTTCCTGGGGTATTTGTGTGTGGCTGAGGGGAAGGTCTGGCCAAAGGCTGGGTCGCATCTTGCTACGCATCTCAGGCCCATTAGGATCGCGTCGGCTCATCACCGAGTCCCCGCCATTATAGGTCAAGTGTACTACTACGCGCGCGTAAGCGACGACAATTGAAAATAGGTGTGATGTAAATCAGATGTTAGTTAAAATTATTTGAAGCTAATCTGCTAAGATTACGTTACAATACGAGACACTGGTTTACCCATAATCTACACCTTCACCACGCAATAATCTTCAATACCAAAATTCCATCAATAAAAATATTTTCGAATTTCCTCACCTTGACTCGAACTTACAAAAGTACCATTATTTTTCCTAATTTCTATTTATAAAACTAATTATTTTATAATCACATTAATTTAATTTACAATATCTTCAAGGGAGAACTGCTTACCACTGGATATCTTTGAGCAAGATTTAATTTACAAACCTATACCTTCGCTTATTCGGGTGATACTTCCTATCGTAGTCATCTGGCAACGGCGACGAAGCTGACGACGACGGCTCCTTGCTAGTGGTAGCCCGATTTGGAGCAACTGAGGCTCTTCTCGCAGCCTTAAAACAAAAAAAAAATTTATTATGATAAAAATACCCTTTTATAGACTTAGATTAATAACAGATTCTTGGGCGCGATTTTAAGAAAACCCGGGTAAAAAGTCAGGGATGTTGCGGAAAAGCCGTAAAGCCACTCCGAGAGCCCGCCCAAGAATGGGCTAAGGTAGGTAAAGCAAAAGCAGCCAATGGCTTTTGGTGGCTGTGGACGCGGGGGGGCAAGACTTCTCCCAATTCATCGGGGACAATGGCCAGCGCCAGAAACTCCTTTGGAACACGCCCGAATGCACCTCTAGACCCTGACGGGGGGCAGCACCCCATTCTTGCCCATCACCCCGATTGTGGCGGGTTTTCCTCTTATAAGAGGCTCTTAGATTTTTTTATTAAATGTAGAACAATCAAAAATCAACTTTCAATTTTTTTGTGCAGAACCGATTAATAAAATTTGCGTTGTAAGCTGACCACGCCGACTATGGAAAAGCCTCTGCGCTCTCCCTGCGGGTAGACAGAGGCTTTTCCATAGTCGGCGTGGTCGGCTTACAATAACTTTTCGCTTACAGCGTAAAATTCTATTTTTTCCTAATTTTAGATCAGTTAGAAGAGTTTCTCTACTATTTTACTTATTAGCATAAAATAAACATGTACATTCTACACGAATTCTTGCATCAAAAATTTAGAAAAACGAACGCGAGAAAAAAGAAACTCACAGAGCATCGCTGAAACAACCGAATCATAAAATTAAGGCGAAGAAATTCTTTCGAACTTTCTACAAATGTTCCCTGGGCCGTACAGGAACATTTAAACATGCAAATCACTCTTTTTGAAATCTCAAAAATAAATTGAACATTTTTAAAAGTTTCTCCGTAAAAATATGCAACTTTTAAAATAAAATTTCGAACCATCTATCTGCCGATTTTTGTGGCAAATGGCATGTCATTCTCAAAATCTGTCCATTCATAATTTAATTATTTTTTTATAGAAAACCGGCAGACGCTACTCCTAGACCTTTCATTCAGTAATTTATAGATAAAGCCTATTTCCGCGCGAACGTCAAACTCCAAAAACATGATACCGTACCCACCACGCAACTCACCCGCCGAACTTGTCGAGGACGCGTGACCCGTTTTGGCGGCATGGCGACGTCAAAGTTAGCAAAGAACTAGCACTAATAATGTAGAAAAAGCCGAGGCCGGCTCGCCGAGGCGCCAAACTGTCATAAGAACCCCTGAAGGAAGGGGCGCCCCGTTAGTAACTAGGCCAATTAGGTACATAGCGAGGGCCCATGAGGCCTTTCCTATCTAATCCCCCCTTCACATCCATCCTCAAGGAGAAGATGTGCTCCTGGTGGTTCTCAGGGCCCAAAAAAAAGATGGAAACAGAAAACCGCCCACCTCGATGACGGCCGTCGGGAAGTCGAGAGAGCGGCGGACGCCCGCATGGACCTTCGCTTGCTCATTTGCTGGGAAAACATATGTAGGATCAGGGCTAAATTTGTCCCCGGAAGCTAAGGGCTTTTAATAAACTGCTTTTTCTGGTTCGCAAAGGATAGCAGGGAAGGGAACATAGCCTTATTAAAGCATCAAAAGTATGCTTCATTAAAAATGTCAGCCAGAAAAAGCTATTTTCAGAGGCTTCCGATGTTTTGAAAATTCCGGAGTGGCTTTCGGCGTTAAAAGCTGAAGAAGTAGATCAGTAGCTGTCAAACGCTAAAATATTCTACATTAGAAAAATTGTGCACAAACGGAACTAAACGTCTTTTTGTACAAAAAACTTTAATCAAAAGATGGTGGAATCTAATTTTCAGTTTTTCGGAGATTTCGATACCTACGCTGCTATTTAATAAAGGCCGGTAGAACACACTATGTAGTAGTTTTCACAGCTCGATTGTATAGGTTTCAGACAGCTCCTTTTTAAACCATATAATCACAAATCCTCCGTTTTTAGCAGCTAAACCTTAAAAACACTCACCTTTCTCAACAGCCGGCTCCTCAACAATCTTCCCGGCCTTCGCTACCGCATCTGAAGCCATTTGCGCTTCAAAAAATAACCGATACCCTGTCGACTGAACTGCCGGCGTCGCTGCGTGGCGTGTCGCTCGGCATTTCTGTCATTCTGTTGGTTACTGGAAACTCGCCGGCGTGCAAAGGCCCTGCCAACCACCATCACCTCATCTGAAAGGAGAATTATACTATGAATTTCAAAGTGGAAAATAGCTTTTGAAATACATGATAGAGCCAATTCAGGATCAAAAAATTATTTAAAGGCAACCCGGGGATGAAAACCTGTACGCTACTTTTCGTTTCCGGCCAGAAATTTCAGCTGCCAAATTTTCGCCGTATGCCAATGGTTTTCTAGTTAAAAGCGTGGCAGAGAAATTACAAAGACTTCAATTCTTATAGCCTACGATGCAAAATTTGATGTGATTTGTGGCGCGTAAAGGGCATGTTCAGGGAGGTTTTTTTGGAAAAAAGCAAAGATTTTTGCCGCGGCCGGGGGTCGAACCCGGGCCCTCCGCTCGGGAGGCGCGGATGGATACCAGTCAGCCACAGCTACAACCTGGCGAGGGGACGAGGGGCGCCCCGAGGGGAATGGCCTGTCACAGCAAGGGCAGGCCGTGCGCGCGGTCCCTACGTCCATAGGGTGTACACGTTGGGGCGAGTACACGGCCCCTCCCTGAACGTGCGCTTTAAGACGTATAACTCATGCCATAAATATTTTGCCCTTAATATCACTGGATCGGAAGTTATGAAAGTTTACGGAAGTTGCATGCAAATGGAGATGGATTCATTGTTTACGAACAGCAAGTTTAAATGGAAACTGAATCCGCTCGTGTGTTGCAATAGGGATATCTAGGAACTAGATAGAAAATACTAACGAAGCCCCTCCCCGCCACATGGAAAAGCTTGATCATTTTCTGTCATTGAAGGTATGTCCCCCTCCATCCCCGAAAAGAACATGTGTTTCAGTTTATAATAAAGAGCGGACCCCATCCCTTCAAAGAAAAACCTCAGCTCCCCCGACTGCCCCCCTTCTTAACCCTTTTCAAACCCGCTCAAGAACAAATCAGTCTCCCTGCCCCCAAATTCAATCTACCAACTAACCGCTTTGAACGACATGGAACAGTTGTTTGCAATGGAAATAGATACAAACACTAGGTGTATAGATGGAAGTCACAGATTTAAACGAAAATAGTGGCTGTTGGGGGGCCTCAATTTGGCGAGGCATCGCCTGAAACTTTATCCGATGTGGTGGATGAGAATAGGGGGTGGGCGAGGGAAAGCTTTTGAAAAAGGCTCGATTGTCTTTCGGAAATAGATCTGGTCGAGTAAGCTTTCAAAGAGGGTTGGTGGGTGGTGTGGTAGTGTGATGTTGTGGTGGTGTGTGTGAAATTAGATGAAGCGCTTCAGCGCATTGTGCGTAGGGATGATTGGGATGTTGCCAAGCTGTTTCAACATAGTACATCACAAATAAGAAAATGTGGAAAAGGGAGCATATAAAAGGGTTTGACTGCAAGTTATATTGAATTTTATGTGGGACTGGATTATTTGAAGGAAGTCTAATTAACCGGGCGTTTTTCTGGAGGAACCTTTTGCGGCAGGTAGCAATTACGAGCTGGAGTGGTAATTTTTATCGCAACATCATGAGATAGGCTAGTTAAATCGTACTTGTAGACTTTATCGTTAGATGAAACATTCAAATGTAATCAGGTTTTTCGATACATATATTTTTTCACAGCTAAAAGTATTACTAAAAGATACCTATCGCTAGGTTTTACGTAGTTAAATAACGAAAAAACGAACAAAGACCAGGTAAAAATAGCAGCATCGTTTACCATCAATCTCCTCCCTCTCTCGAAAAAAATAGCTACCAAAAACCCCAAAGAAATGGACCCCGCCGTCACCCTCACCCGCCTTTTTCCAGACCCCTCCACCAGCATACACACAAATAACAGCCCTTCGTAATTAGGAGCTTCTAGGCATTCCCTGAATATTTAATAACTGCACCCCGTCCGCCGCAACGACGCGCCCCCCAGATTGTTTTACTAATTCTGCCTCCGCAGCCCCCTCCCGGATCTCGGCCTCCCCTCCCTTCTTGGAGCTCCCCTTCCACATCCACCCACCACCCTTTTCTTAAAACTCCCCCAAATGGAAGGGCACCACAAAACAGACATTGTGAAGAACAGAGAATCTATCAAAAAAAAAAGTGGAAGCCACATTGAACGGCCGGAATCGGCTTTAAAACCCCCGGGTCGACGTCTTCATCGTTGGGCAAGTGTGAAATCGTTGAGAAGGGCAGGTAGCACCCGTAGAATTTTGTGGCCCCCACTGCTCAGTCGACCAAGAAAAAAGACCTCCGAAAGATTTCGGGTCTTTGCCGCGGGGTGAGAGTTGGTTTAAAGAGGCAAGACGCAAAAAGAGGAAACAGACGGAAGTGCCAAGCGGCTAATTCTCGAAAATATAAACTATGAATTGGCGCTGAGGAAATGACCGGAAAAGATTTCGTTAAGCAATAAAATTGTTCGGGTTTTTTTCGTTTAATTCAAGAATTGTTGATGTTTTTAGCATGTCTTAACTTTCAATGATTTCTAGACACTTATGGTAAAGTGCAAACCACACACCTCGTATGCTCGCTCCCGGAAATCAGCGGAAATTTGTCTGGCAAGCAAAGCCATAAGACGCTTGTTGCGATACGAAAGTATTTTTCAAAAGTTGCCATATACGAATTCACTAAAAGAAGGGGTTTTAGGATTTCTAAATGTTTTCGAAATTTTGTGTCGTGCATGACGGCTACCTTAATCTGAAATCCCTGGAGAGTTGGTTTTAACGAGAATTAATTGCACCGGTTAAACAAACTAACCGAATCACGCTATAGTTCCAACCCGTTTATTCTTTCAAAAAATTAACGGAAGACTGTTGGAGGTAGAATTTGTGGTGCGGTCGAGAATTTCGGATGACGTTGCAGCACTTTCCTCCGGATCTTCCGCTTTTAAGCTGATCGGCATTTTTAGACGCTCATCTACTTTGCAGGGCAGCCCCGTGGTTGGGTCAATCAAATTGATTTCATCCAACGCGACGATCGAGTAGCTGTTTCTCATTTCAGAGACTTGAAAAACTAACTACAAAAAGTTATAAGGGGCCTAGAACGCCATAATTACCGTAAGATATTCACCCGGTTCGATATAAACTCGTTCACATTGCCAGGAGTGTATCGTGTAATTGGTAGAGGTGAACAAACTAAAAAATGATAGTAAGTAATGTGGTAGTAAGTAAGCTAAGCTAATGTTTTAATCGGTATTTACGTTGTATCGTTCTCCTCGTCCAAGCCCAAAAGCACGTCCAGTTTCGGGTAAAAGGTCGAGCGATAATAGCAAAATTCAAGTGCAGCCGTTCGAGTGATGTTCAAATCAGTAAACTCAAGGCTGGATGAAGCTGGCCCTCGCGCGTAAGCAAAATCACCACCTAAAATTAAGCCTCAAATAGGCGTAAGTAAAATACTTACGGAGGGGTTTTCTTACTCCAGAATGATGCGTCCCAACATGCGAATAACCAATCTTGAAGTCTTGAAATTCGTCTTCAAAATCCACACAAATTGTTGCATCGAAATCACATGTCAACTTTTTACACGTTTCTTCCTCCAATGGGATTGGCGGTTCAAAATGTGGTACTAGAAGGTTGTTATTAATATAATAATATCACAGCTTACCAAAATCGCAGTTGTAGATTTGGTTAGCCTCGTAAGTTATGGTATCTACAGCCGCCATGCCACCTTGTTTGCCAAAGTTATTCAAAACAAAATTGTAGGCTTCGATAACAATCTGAAAAGACCAAGGAGCGATGCATTAGTGAAAATACCTCAAAATTATGCATGATGCTCCCTGGGATGATGACAGTAGTAGGACCAGGTGCGCCTTTCCAAATATCATTGCTACACCATTCATAGATTTTACCGGAGCCCGGCCGTCTATAGAATGTAGAATTAGCATTCTTGAGGAAAGCATACCTTACACAAACTCTTAATTTCACCCTCGGACTTGTCCAGTGATTAAATGTCAGCTTCCCATCACCCTGTTGACATTGTATAGGATCGCTCACTAACATTGCAGAGTGATCGGGTGGTAATTTCTTCTGAGTACCAGCAAGAAGAAAAGGGCCCTCTTGAAAAATTAGCTTAATGAAAATTTTTCCAACCAGGTCTAATTTTCGTCGAAAAGATATCCTTTGCTTGTTCGTCACCCCAATTCCCGCAAGCTCTCACCCAATCGAGCTCGTCGCCAGACCCACATATTGTCCATTCATTTCTCCATCTAAGAAATATTAAAATATAATTTTAAAACCAATCTCGCTACCGGCATGGCATCGAACCAAATGCATCAAAAGAATCGCATATCAGGTCGCAAGGATAAGAAAGTTTGAATTGTCCAAGTATCGATGCTAAATATATACATCATAGTAGTCAGCACAAACTTACGATATTTAAATAGTGGAAGCCAGGTATCCACTTCTATATTGCCACCCAAGAATTCTAAGACGTCAATTAAAAATTAAAATTTCCTAGCTTACTTTTCAAATCCATCATTTCCAACATTTCCAAGAGGTCTTGCAGTTCAAGACAGCTTGCTAAAATTTTTTAAATGAATTTTCAGAACAAATACCGGTTAGTAACATCATGACGAAAAATAATAGTGCGCGTGTGGATTCCATATGCAAATAATGGTCCACGTACATCCGGGTATGTCCTTCTGACAGGGCCTGCTTGGATTTCGGGAAAAACTGGTTATAATGTCCTTAGAAATTCTCTATGAAGCCTGGATGAGCAAGGATTATAAAATATTCGTGAAGTATATAATTATACAAATTTTCGCTGTAGCCAAAGTTAAATAACACGGTGTAAAATACATTACGATTTAAATTCATTTTCTGAGATTTTTCTTCAGCATTGCACTAAAGTTCCTGATTTTTGTAACTAGAGTTCTATCAGCTTGTAACCATTCAGGTCCAAATAGTTTTTGTGTCTCGCTGACCGTTCGTTTCTATGTACCTACTGGCCCCTCTTCACCTCCACTTGAAGTCAGCCACCAAATGAATGGTTATTGCGTCACCCCGAAGAGGAGAAGATGGCCAATAGGGGTGCTCTCACCCCCTGCAGTCTGCTCATGAGGAAAACGGGTTAAGTGTCTGTTTGTTCATCGTCTGATACTAGGACGTGCAAGGTGAATTTATAAGATTTATTGATTTCTAGGTGTTGTCGGGGTTTAATAGGGTAGTAGCGTTTTGCTATGGTTTGAAAGGTAGGTAACGGTTGGTTACTGTAACGAGATGCCACGATACCTTCGTACATCAAAACTATTTTTTCAAACTTTTTCTCCATACGGCTTACGTGGAGAGTCATTGAGTTTTCTAAAGCGCGCCCCGGAAAAACCATTTTTGTTGATTTCCAGACCGTTCCAGGAACTAAGGAGAGATTTTTCCGCCCTTTTTGTCGTGCGGGTGCGCAAAAAACCTCACATTAGTGTATTTAAAATGATGTAGCGTCGAACAACTAGCCAAAATTAAGAGGTAAGTCTCGTTAAGGCACATACAATCTTTTATCCAAAATTTATAGGCCCTATAAAAAGCTGCCCACCCCTTATTCTTACCATCTAGGCGGTTCGATGGCCAGCGCCCACCCGTCTGCAAACCATGCCTTTCCCCCCAATGGACGGCAAACATTCGCACCCAATTTATAGTCAACATTGAAAAACCGTCGGCCGGGGTTCGTCGTCGGGCCGCTGCGCCCGGGAGAAATGGAGAGTTTTCGCGGGCTCCGCTTGTGAGATCGGTTCAACAGGCCACAAGGTTGTAGTGCGGAAGGGAAGTGGTTGTCCGTCATCGTTAATTATATATGGTTTTATGCAAAGTGTAGATTTTATGTAAATATTTGTGAGAGTTTTCATGCGCCGGAAAATTATCAGCTGCTCAAAACCGACCGTTGGTCCGCGAACACCACGCCTAAAATGTACACTGATAATTGCAAAACCCCGTCTTTGCAAATACCCAACCCTGCAGCCATCTTGATTGATAGTTATTTTCAAGCTAACCCCTTCCTTTAGAGTTCAGGCCCTGCCAACTTCAACGGCACGGCCAGACAGCTTATCGCCGACCCTCGTGGCACGCGCCCCGTTCTTCCGAAAGCTTCGGGGGATCAGGGGTCAGCCTTTTTTGGGTCGGTTGCTTATCGCCTGAACCGCGCTGGAACTCGAGCCAACACCACCGCGTTTTATCGTCGTTTTTGGGATGGTTTCTGCCTGTGAATTGGCCGAAAAAAGAAAGGTGAACGAGTTAGTGTTTGCAGCCGATGTCAATGGTGGTTTTTGATTGGTTGGGAATGAGAAGAAATAAGGGAGATCTGGGCCTAAAAAGGACGATAATTAAGTTCGAACCATGGTTGAAAAGCCGCCTCGCGACTTTTAAACCGTGGCCCTGTCTGCTTCCATACTATTCTTCGCTTTGCATTTCCCGAATTCAGATGGCGAAAATGAAAAACACCTCTACTGCCCCATTATATAGTCGAATCCCCACTTCCGGTCTATGTTAATTATTTCTAACAAAGAAGGTTCACAAAAACTTAAATTTAATATCGAAACTGGGTCATTTAAAAAAATAGCGTGATGTGTACAGTCATCGCAGGACCATTACGCCCCTAATGACATATCGTACGCCCCTGAGATTTCTACCCTTCTGAGATATGACTGGAACAACGATACGGAAGTGGATGCAAAGTGGCACACACACACACATACAGACACTATTTTTATAGATAGTAATGTATTTTAATATTTTTTATATATAGTAATATATTATATTTTTATATATAGTTATATAATAATAATAATTTAGTTATAGAATTTTATATAAGTTCGAATTAGGTAGCCCCCAGATCGAAGTTGGCTTAGGTTTATTGGGCTATTTTTCGTCGTTTCCGCTGCGGTTTTCACGCTGGTCTCGATGCCTATAATTGTTCTTGCGGATATCTTACGGGATGCGAGATTCGAAGCCATCAATACGCCAATTTTTCAGCAATAAAATCCCAAATCTTTTTTGATCTGCGGATAATCCGGACAAAAATTTTATGCCCCAACCCCCTATGAAATTTCATACCTTCCACAACCAATTGCTTATCGACCGCCCTCCCTCCTCATGGCACATCGACGGAAACATTCCCAGGCAAAAACTGCGATTTTACGACCCATATTTGAAGTGTCGGCCCCGGAGAGGAAGCGATTTCAGAAGCATCGGCCCCGAGGATCGATGTTTGTGTTTTGCTGGTCCAGTCGTATGTTGGGATTGTTGACGAGTGGATATGCTAATAAGCAGGACACGCGATCAGGGCTCTTTTTCCCCGGGAATTTCCATGGAGTCTGGGGTGGACAAGGTGTCGTGCCACAAAGAATTAGTGGTCCATTCGAGATAGAGGGGGAACAATGGGAGGGTAGGGTGGCTGTCACGCAGCTATACAAAGTTAAAAATACGGAAATTTTTGCTTTGCTATTTCTGCGGTTTAATTGAGCCTTCGATGCAAAAAATTATTTGATTTTTCATCAGAGCTGAAAATAAATGCATATTCACAAAAAGTACTAACTTGGGGGTCACACACTCCTATTTTTTGGTTTCAAAAATGTATCTTTTGTACTACAGCTAAAAATAGAAGCATCCCCTAAATTCTGATACTTACTTCCGGGTTAATTTTTACCAGTCCCCACTTGCCAGTAATACCCGCCAAAAAACCCCTTATCTCAGATCGGGATAACCGAACCACCCGTTGGTATCCATCCAAATATTCAGCCGATTGATTCATCGCGCCCCGGAAAGCAATATGCCAGGGTTCCATTAAACAAATATCGCAGACACAGATCTCGTCTTTACACCCCCCGAATGCTAGAAATGATTCACCATCCCCGGAACACCCTTGGCAATTCCCGAAAAGTCCCTACATTTCCCAAACGCACACCAAAGACGCCAGAAAAAGGTCATACGCCCTCTCACGATACACACGCATATTTTGTTGATTTCCCGAGAAGGCTCGAGAACACAACCCCCCTCTAAAACGAAGAGTGCAGCTGCGGGGCCCCAATCTTGGAACCCGACGGAAGACCTCAATCAGCTGTTCAAGTTGGCAGAGGAATAGGCTAGTGTGGGACCTAGATGGGAGATGAAGATACGTCTCTATACCCTCCACAACTTTTCTATTCCTATTCCATCCCCCTCTCCTTCAAACGGCTGTTTTCAGCGTTGACTAGCCTGGGCCCGGGGATTGACAGAGTGCACGCCACCGCGAATTAGCCAGAGCTCGCTCGGGCGCCTTGTTTGCCGTTTTCCCATTGCATCAGGCTCACGGGCCGAGCGCTGCTGACTTCCCGAGCGTTGTTGTCGACATCGTGGATCTGATTGAACTATTGGGCTGAGGCTCAATGGGTGAAAGAGGGGGAGGGTTCATGGAAATTTGGGCATGAGAAAGGCTATTTCATAACTGGTTCCGGCGAGGTTTACGAAATAAGGCTTGAAGGGACAAATTCTGGAAATTATTGCATACCTAAAATTATCAATATAGTTTGCCAAATAAAGTTAGGCGCACCCTCGATATGGAAAATCTAGCTTTCTAGCAATTTTTTGCAAAAAATAGGTAATTTTAACACATACAAGCATATACACAAAGTTTTTGTCAGTCCAAACCCAGCCACTTCGAAGTTTAATAGGCAAAGAGTTTATAAAAAACACTTTTAATGTTTCTTAGGCCCACTTATAAAGAACCAAAAATCTAAACAACCGCACGTCAACAACCGCGATGTGGAAAAACTCTATCCTTTTAGTTGCTTACCCATGCTCCTTAATCCAATTTACCCAACACCCCACCACCATGTTCTGTAAACCAAAAACAGCCCTTAAAGATTTGTTTACCCTCCCCCCTTGCCATAACGAAAAATAATGGTTTTGAAAGGTCTCTCGATCCACAGGCAGCCGTCTCCCGCAGCGACTGCCCAGGGTAAGAGGTGCGAGGCCTTGAGACCTCGGCCGGGTGTCTTTTGTATTTTTTCGTTCATCCCGGGCGCCGGAATTGAGGCGCGGCTGGCTGGTTGGCTAGGTTGGGTGCAGTGATTTGTGTGTGTGCGTGTGTGGGTTGAGGGCTGTGTATTCTGTCAGTCAGCTATGGCCTCGAGGGGTTCTGGTTGAGGCAGACAGTAAGTAATACCTGCAGGAAATGAAAGCCGTTTTATTCTAACATGTCTCTTACGTAAAAATAACTCTGCAAGGAAGCACGTTGTCTAAAAAACCCGACAATTTTCGCTTCGGAAAACCGCCATCAGCACGTTGTGATTCCCGACACGACCGTATAAATCTGAAATTTTCACGGTTTTCGACGATTTAAACCGTTTGAAAAAATCGCCTACTCCAGACCTACTGGATACCTTAATCGCCGAAATCGGATACTCCCATGAACCACTAGATCGGGTTTTTTTGCTTTGTTGGGACACCATGTATTTACATCTGGCTGGTCTGTTTTTCCTGGCGCTTTTGCAAAGGATTCCCCCCCTGCGTTGTATTCCCCCAGCTGACGCAATAACTCATATTTGGCCTGGATGCAAATACCCGGAAACTTTCTGTTATCCGGGTGGGCCCCGGCAATTGCACAG